ACATTACGATTCATAACAGTAGCAAAATTACAGTTATAGAGTAGCAACGAAAATAATTTTATGGTTGGGGGTCACCACAACATGAGGAACTGTGTTAAGAGGTTGCGGCATTAGGAAGGTTGAGACCCGCTGCTCTAGAGGATAAACCTCTTCCAGGGGTGGAAAATGGGGTGATCTAACTTCTTGCTATACAGACTTTCAAACAATATTCTTGTTTTTAGCATCATCTCACCCACTTTCAGAATAACGTGGTGCTTCAAATTTCTAAGTCTTTCAGAGGTCTGTCTGCACATGACAGCTTGATTCATGGTGGGCTGCTCTGCTGCTGGCTTAGGTTTCAGCGTTCTCTAATTGCCGAGTCAGTTACTTCTCATCCATTTGCTTTCCACCTTCTAAATTTTTGGTGCTGTCATTCCCACTCCTAGTCTATTTTTCCTCCCCCCCCCCCTTTACTGTCAGGAGGTATTCAATATGCCAAGTTTAACTGGAAGTTAGAGCTTAGGTTTTAATGCCCACATGGGGACATAAGAAAAGACCTTGGGTCCAAGAAACATGAATTGAAACTGGGATCCCTACATACAGCCAGGGCTTTCAAAGGAATGTAACATCAGTGAAGAAACAGACTACAGAAAAACTCACTGACCATCAGAGGGAAAAGAAAAGGAAGCTTTTAACCTTGACTCTGAGTAGGAAAAAGGACTCTCTGTTAAGAATTTAGGAACAATGCCACACAATTGATTTAAAACTATTAGGGAACCCCCAAGCCAAGAAACTGACATAAAAATTGGTCCTGGGTATATGATACTCCTAGAGTGCCTGGTCCTGAGTTTATAATGTGCCTAGAATGCCAGGCCTTGCAGAAACATATGAAAAGCTACTATGAAGGTACATGCTCTTAACACAGGCCTCTCAAGAGTCCACATCTAATGCTAAGTGAAAATGATCTCAAAATTCATAATTACAAAGTACAGGAAACAATAATTTAAATGAAGATTTGCATACACACACAAAAAGTAAGATTAGATTCCCAAGATTTCTAATGAACACCACTGAAACAGCACATTAAAAAGTGTTAAAGATGTAAAACAGGTTGGCTGAGTGGCTCAGTTGGTTAAGAGCATGAGCTCTGAGCAACATGGTCGCCGGTTCAATTCCCACATGAACCAGTGAGCTGCGCCCAAGCTGAGCTGCCGCTGAACTGCCAACAGGAGGCAGGATGGTCAGCTGGTGAGAGCACGTGCTCCTAACAATAAGGTTGACAGTTAGACTCCCGCATGGAATGGTGGGCTACGCTCACCGGCATCTAAGATTGAACATGGCACCTTGAGCTGAGCGGCCACGAGCTGCTGATGGGCAGCTGGATGGCAACTGGACTTGGAGCTGAGCTAGCTGCGCCCTCCACAACTAAGATTGAAGGACAACAACTTGGCTGTTCCCCTGCCCCAATTCCCCAACACTGTTCCCCTTCCCCAGTTTCTCAATAAAAATTTTTAAAAAGTTATAAAACAAATATTTAGAACCATAAATAAATAATCAGATATTATGAAAGAATAGAAATGTCTGAAAATGAACTGAATTTAATCTCTAGAAATGAGAAATGAAGTCATTGAAAATAAAAACTCAGTAGATAGTTCAATATCAGGTAAAAAGAGAATTTGCACACCAGAAGATATATCGAGAATGCAGCACAGACAGTTAAAAGTATGGAAAAATGAAAAAGAAATGAAAAGTCATGGAAAATATAGAAAAGAAAGTCAAACAGAAGTTCCAGAAGGAGGAAACAGAGAGAATGTAAGAAAGGTAATTATTGAAGAACTAATAATATCTTTGAAGAGTTACTTAACCATATACCTTAGTCACAAAGCAAATGTAATCAAATACCAAAGAATCTATACCACATAGGTGGTGTTTTCTGCCCACAGTACGATACAATGAGAAATCAGTAATATAAGATAGAAAAGCCACACATATTTGAAAATTTGAAAACATACTACATGGGCCAAAGAAGAAATCATAATAAAATTCGAAAATATTTAGAAATGAGTGATAATGAAAACACTATATACCACAATTTCTAGAATATGGTTAAAGCAGTATATAATAGAAATGCATTACTTTAATGAATCTGTGATTCTCAACGTTGGTCCCAGGACATCCAGAAACTTGAAAGAAATGCAATTTTTAAGTCTCTACCCAAAACATACTGAAACAGAAATTCTGAAGGTGGGGTCTAGAAATCTGTATCTTATCAAGACCTCCCGGTGATTCTGATGTATGCTCAAGTTTGAGAAGCACTGCCTTAGATGTACATATTGAAAAAAAGAGAAAGCTTAATAGCAAACATCCAACTTGAGAATTTAGAAAAAGAACTCAATCCAAAAGCAATAGAAGGAAGTCAATAATAATGTTAAGTGCAGCAAATTTCTTTACAATCTATTTTACTGGCTTTAATTCTATGTTAGGGCCCTTAGAGAGGTATTATCTTTTCTTTTTTTGAAATCTCCATATTGTTTGGGTTTTTTTCAATTATTTTTTATTGTGAAATACACATTTTTTAGAATTAGTTCCAGCTGTACAACACAGTGCAATATACTTTTTACCCCTCGAGGTGACAACCCCCCTCCCCTAATCCACCGCCCCACTCCCCCCCAATATCATACATATCTATTACAATTCCCTTGACTCCACTCCCACACTATACTCCACGTCCCATGATATATATATATATGTGTATATATATGTGTGTATATATATACATATACATATATATATATATATATAATCACTTACAGTTGATGAGAGGTATTATCTTTGTTTCTAGGTTGTAACAATCTCAGTTTTCCTCCAGGTTAAGGGAGTCCATCAATGCAAGTAAGTTGAGCAAGGAAGAAAGTAACACGTAAAAGAATATTTCAAGATAATCTCATTTTAGGTATCTATGCAGATATATGCATACATTTTTCTGGATAGAATCATAAGAAAGCATTAAAAATGATTTGCTTTGGGGAGAGCAACCTGAGGTAAGGGGGAGTTTTTATTTTTCCTTTTAAAAATATTCCTATTGGGTTTGAATTTATAATCTTATATTACTCTCGTTTTTAAAAGTGGTAACAAGGCTAATTTGGACGATGAGGTTATGGGCAATTTCATTTCCTTAAAACAAACTTGGTTAATATTATAGTATTAAGAACAATAACAACAAAAACATGTCCCAAACCTGGACTGACTCAGAACATTTTTTTTTTTTGCCTAATGTAATCACAGTTTCCTTCTGAGAATAAATTAGTATGCCTGATAAAAATATGCAAGCAATTCCCTGATAAATTCTAAGGGAATTGAAGATTTGTTCTAAAAAACCCGCTCATCCAACCGTTAGTCAAGAGCCTAATTATCTCTAAACAAACATAATTTTCTTTTGTATCTAATCTAAGGATTATCTATTTCTGTAAAACGCCCCCAATCGAGAGTAAAACTTTGAATTGGTTTGATAGACTCCTTTTCCTTTGCAGCAAGATCTGTAATAAATTTAGATAAATGGTAATAACCACATTGCTCGGGAATGTTTTAACAGCAATTAAATATGCGTTAAACCCTTCAAAAACCAGGGTAATGTTCACCTGAATTACGAGTCTAAAGGATGAGGGGATGATAAATGGCAGGGCTATGGAACTGTAGGAACAGAGTGGAATCCATTCATTCGAGAAGTATTAGAGTGCCTACCATAGACGAGGCTTTGAAAAGTACGCCCAGTGTGTCCATGACGTGACAGGCACTGTTCTAGAATCTGGGGATCCAGAAAGGAACAAATGGGGTTAGGGAGAGAAAACTACAGTTCCCACACTATCTCGCCCTTCCGCCTTTTCCCAGGTGCTGGCGTCTTGCCACGCTCCTCTTCCCAGGATTCTAGGCAAGCCCCGCCCCCTGGCCGACACGCGCCCGTTCTCTCGGTAGGACATGGACTGCGACTCGCGCCAGGCCGTCGTGGGCGTGGCCTATGAGGGCTTCCCTTCTTCCTGGCTGTGCCGGAGGCGGACTACAGTTCCCAGAAAACTTTGCTTCCTCTCCTGGGTGTTATTGCCCCTTTCCCGGTGCGGGACACGGTAGCGGCGAGCGGGTGCCAGGCCTGTGGTCCTGTGTGTCCTTCCCCGTGGCAGGGACGAGGCAGTGACTTGACTCGGGCGCTGAGCCCGGGAGGGAGCGCTGGGGGCCGCCGTCCTCCTGGCCGGCTTCCCCTCACGCTCCCGGCTCGCCCGTCTTCTCTCCACCCGCCGCCGCCTGGACGATTCCGGACCGACTGCCTGGGGGCAGAGGTGGCGATATCGGTCGCCGGGGCTGTGGCGAGGCCGCGGCCCTTGGGGCGGCGGTAGCGGCGTCAGCGCTGGGGAGGAGGCGGAGGGAAGATGGCGTCGGAGCTGGAGCCGGAGGCGCCGGCCATCGACCGGAGTTTGCTGGAATGTTCGGCTGAGGAGACGGCGGGGGTGAGTGCTGGGACCCCGGCTGGGACGTCTGTCCCCTGCAGGCCGAGCCCCGTGGGAGGAACCGGCTCCTGGAAGCCCCGGAGCGGCCTGGCTCTGACTTGGGGGGTAACCCGGGCGCTGGGCTCTCCGGCCTCCCCAGCTGGGGAGCGGCCCGGGGACGCCACCGATCCTTCCATCCTCCCCCCTTTATCCTCACGTAGCCCGCAGATCTGCTCTGTGCACCAGCCGCCTTTCCGTTCCCTTTCTGCCCAGGAGAACCAGCAGCTCTTCCGTGATGTCTCCTTTCCCCCACACTCGTATGAAGTCCCCAACACGAGGGCTTTTGCCCTGTATGCCAGGTCTTGGAATAGGGGAGGGAAAGACACTTCCTGGTGTTTTGGGTATAATCGCCCTCCTTGATCTTTCTGATTCCTTTTCCGGACATAAGCGGAGCGTTGGCTCCTCCACCGAAACCTGCTCCCTTAATAGCCGAGTCCCCACTTTGTTTCTGGGACCGCGCTGAGCATCAAAGGATGCAGACGACCGTTCTCCCTCTTCCCCCTCTTCAGTGCGTTTTCACACAGGCTTGGTCCGTCGACAGCATTGATGTATGTGCGGAAAGCAGTGTCTCGACTGAGTGTAAAAGAAAGTAGTGGAGGCTAGGAGAGCAACAAAATAATTTTCCAAGAAGTTGGGGGGTAGTTGGGTGGAGAACGAACGTTATGTAACTTTGGGAGAGCAGCATTCAACACATAGAAGTTCATAATGTGAGGTTTGGTTACAGCGTAGCGGGAGCCTTTATACCCCAGACTTAAACCATTCAAACCCAGTATTGTACTGAAACTGTACCATGAATATGCCCGTATAAGTAACAGAGTTGTAAAAGGATTGCTTTAATAAACGCGATGGCATCTTTCTTCAAGACCTGGGATCACCCATTAGAACAGATTGTCCAGAATGATTATGAATGGACCAAAACAACTTAGGCCCCACCTCTAAAGCCTTCCATTTAAAAAGCTACTAGGAAGGGAGTGACCTCTGAACACAAGTCAACAACCTGAATGTTATGAACAAAATTTTAGTGGGTCACTGTGGAGCTAGGGAGGAGTTATTTTGGGTGAATTGATGAGGACACTAAAGTCAGAGTGGAATAAATGACAGGAGAGGTGAAAAAAGTCTTTGCTTGTTTCTGTTTAAACCAACTTGTTTAGTCTAGGTCTGTTTTCATTGACTTTCTGCTTAGTATTACAACGACTCCAGGATTTTCAGCCCCCCCCCCCAGCCTTTCATTTATCAGAGATTTGAAAAAGAAAGTGAAAGCAGTGTCACAAGTAAACAGTAAAATGGTAATTACAATTTTCCCTATCCATGTTGCCCTATTAATATCCTTACTGATATCTACTGTTATTTACCTCAAAGTAATTTTATTTTATTTTTACTTCCACTGAGTTTCATGTCTGTTGGCTTAGTGATACAGTCTATGTACTCTTATTTTCCCGATTCTAAAAGTGCAAACTACCAAGCAAGTGATTAAAGTTTCTGTTTGTTGAGGCTCCTCATGAGACCTGTACCAGAGACCAATGCTCCTAGTTCTTGTGCAGTGAAATTCTTACGCAGATGCAGCAGGGCAAATGCAATACAAATTTATTAATTTGGACTAATTTGAGTTTGTGAGGAGCTACATTTTACTTTTGCTTTTTATTTTTAAATGATTTTCTGAAAAAAAAGATGGGGAAAAAAAAGTTCAGTCTGAAGGCTAACAAAATTCCTTAAAAAAGATGCAAACTAATATTAAAATACAAGACTCTTCCAGCTATATAACCTGGCCTTTCTTTATGAAGGGTTTATTGTCTGTATTTAGTTAAAACAGCATAACACTTAAAACCATTCTTTCAGCCTCGGCTCCAGGATGGCTCTTTATCACAAATTAAAATGAATTAATAAAGTTTTGTCAGGTTAGAGGTAAATTCTAAAGAGGGTAAACAAGGAAAGAAAGCAGCTTATTACAGCCTTTAGACCTCTGTTACTGGTAGTTTGTTGGGATCACATCCATTTAAAATTACTTAATAAGCACAGGTGTCATCTTTCCCACACTTTATTTACACACTGTTTCTCTTCTATTAGAGAAAAAACTTTTAACTAGTATGCCTCACAAATAGAAGCATGGAAGTGCTCTCTTCAATAACTTTAAGTTTAGGATATTAAAGTGGTCCTCCCTTCTCAGCTTTCTTTTTTTCTTGGTAGAATTGATTCCACAAGTATGACTTTCCTAACACGTCTGAAGTCTATCTACGTTGCATGCTCCATGGATTTAATTATAATGTGTTCCAATGGATGATTATGATTAAGAAGTACATATATTGCTTTTCCCCTAGTATTAAAGAAATACATATTCATTATAGAAGTTTTATGTCTATTGATGATTTTTTGCTTTAAAATGTTTGAATTTTATATGTAATTCAAATATACAATTCAATTCAAAGGTTTTTTTCTATATTCACAGAGTTGTGTAACCATCACTACAACCAATTTTAGAACATTTTCATCATCCCCCGGAGGAAATCCTTTACCCATTAGCAGTCAATCCCCATTTTCACCTAACCTCCCAAACTCTAGAGAGTTACTAACCTATTTTTCATCCTCATACATCTTCCTATTCAGGAAACTTCATATAAATTTCACTTAACATAAGATTTTCAAGATTCATTCATGTTGTAGCATGTATCAATACTTCGTTCCTTTTTTTTTTTTTAAGATTTTTATTGGGGAATTCGGTGATGGGAACAGTGCTGGGGAATTGGGGGAAGGGGAACAGACAAGTTGCTGTCCTTTTGTTCTTCAGTCTACTTGTGGAGGATGTTGCTTCACTGGTCCATGTTGGCACCATCATTGCGCTCTTCCTGGGTGAGGCAGATCAGTCGCCAGCTTCCGGATGGCCGCTCACGCTGGCTGCCGGCTACACACAGTAGCCCACGGCAACCCACTGCAGCAGGGGCTGCAGCCTACCCCGTCGCTGGTGACTCACAGCAGCCCAGCTCCAGGTCGAGCTGTTGTTCAGCATCTTAGCTGTAGAGGGCAGTGTCACTGGCCCTCATATGTGGGATCCAAACCGGGGCCCTCTGGCGTCCCAAGCCAGCTCTTAACCAGCGCGCCACTCGGCCAGCCCTACTTCGTTGCTTTTTATTGCCAAATGATACTTCATTCCTTTTTATTGCAGATACTATATTTTATTTATCCATCAGTTGATGGACGTTTGGGTTGTTTCCACTTTTTGGATATTATGAATTGTGCTGCTATGAACATTTGTGTACAATTTTTTGTGGGGACATGTTTTTATTTCTCTTGGGCTGGTACCCAGGAGTGGAATTGCTGGGTCATATGGAAATTCTATGCTTAACATTTTGAGGAACCCCTAAATTGTTTTCCAAAGTAATTGCATCATTACATTTCCCACCAGCAGTATATGAGGGCTCCAATGTATTTCTCCACATCCTTGTCAACACTTGTTACACCCATTTGTTGGGTGTGAAGTTGTGAGGACCCAGGCCAGGACCTAACAAAGTAGTATCTCATTAGAGTATCTCAAGTGGTATCTCATTTGATTTGTATTTCCCTGATGACTCATGGTGTTAGGCATTTTTTCATGAGCTTATTGACTGTTTGTATATCTTTGGAAATTTCGTTTCCTGTCTTCTTATTTTTAAATTAGATTTTTTTTGTTTGTTTTTTATTATTGAGTTTCATATTATTTTGATTTATGGTTGCTTTTACTTCATTTCTGGAACTCATAATGTGATTTGTTTAAATTTTTCTTAGTGTAGTCCCCAAAACTCCCATTTCAGCACTAGTGATTGTTGTTTTACAATTAACCTATATGTTGGTTATCCTTATTCAAAAGCAAAAGCAAATGTGGTTAAAGGATACAATTTTAATTGGGTATAGAGTAATAAATAATAAGGGAGGCTAACTTCTAGGGGTTCTTTCCTTTTTGTGTTACTGTAGTTGCTCTCTATCCCAAGGCTTAAATTTAGCATTCAAAAGAGGAAAGCTCATGGAAACGTTGTCATAACATGTTTACTTTAGTGGAATGAGTTGACAGTTTCTTTACTTCCCTAAGGAGGACTTCTAATAAGATAGTGCTTATTACATGCACCCAAATTGGAAAGCGCAAGGATTTTTCATGTTAAACACTTACAGTTAGCTTATGTTAGTGAGAATTAATATGAAAAGCTATAGAGTTTATTCTTTTGAGAAATAGGTGAGCCATTATTCTGAAAGGCAGCCAGAAAGTTTGTCCTCCTGCTTACTTTCTCTGCAACTTTTTTTTTCTTTTAATCTACACTGTTGCAGTTACTAATTCAGTATATCTGGTATAGAATTCTCATGTAAAGGTACTTTGCTTTATATATTGTTTAAATTTAATGATGTTAAAATGGCTTGTAATAATCCCAAATCTATTCAGTAGTTTTGAATTTTGAGCATATGCCTGCCTTTCTTGAACCATATTTTTATGTCTTGTTAATAATTTATAATAATATGTAATAAATGATATTTAAAATGAAATGGTTGTTTTATTAATATATAGGGTGGCTGATTTTTCTTTCTTAACCAGAAGCTGGTATAGTTTCTGAATTTTTTTGTTTAAGAAATCTGTGAACAGATTTGACCTGCCAGTGTTGTTGGAGCCACAAAACAATGTAATTTCTTCTGGAAAGCATCTCCTTTTATTTCCCCTGGGTTAAAATTCTGCAAAAGGGAAGTTTTAAGAGAAATGGGAATATAAAAAAATAAAAACAAAAACTTTTTAAAATAAAACCTTTAAATGTGTTGTAAATTAAAATTACCTGAAGCATAACATTCTAGGATCATGAAGGTGAATTCTTTGAATCTCAGTGCTTAATGTTTCATTCATAAATAGTAAATTGCTTAGGATAATTGGACTACATTCATATTTGCTGACAATGGATGAAAAACTGGACATTTACCCTTGGATGTGACCCAGAAAGTGTTTTTTAGTTCAAAGTATTATAATAGATTCTAGTTTGCTTGTGGTTGAAGACTCTGCCTTTTACTGTTGACTTTGATGACTTTTTTTTCCGCTTCCTTTTATAACTACTAAAGAGTGTGTGTGTCTGCGTGTGTATGTGTGCATAAGAGATTTAGATTAGAGCCACTGCTCTAAATGGAGAGAGAATCCTTATTAAACCTGTGTGTGGAATTGTCTCCCAAGAAGTGCTGTGGTTTTACCAGTAGTTTAGGCTCTTTCCTACTTGAATAAAGTAAACACAACAAAGTAACATTTGGAAAAGATAGTTTTCCTTTTGGGGTGCAAACTTTTTCACTGTTTTTGGTCGTAAGCTTCCAACCAGTTCTTTAAATTAGGAACAAGATTTTTACATTTTTAGTAAAAGTTCTCCGAAATGTGAAATTGACTAGAAAGTTAATATATGCTACCTCATGAATACTTAAAATCTCTATGTGTTATTTTTAGAAGGAAGAAAGTGGGCTGAAGATTGTACAAGTAATAGTTAAAATGAAGATTCTTACACTGTTGCCTTATGGTGTTAGATATCACTTGAACATAAACTGTTTTTGCTGAGAATGTAATTTGGAACTTAACTTGTAATCCATAGGTAAACACTGGACCTATAACTTAGCAGTTAACTGTATTTTTGTAAAAGTGAATCATTTCAATTTTTTTTGTTTAAAATTTTTATTTGGTTGAGAGCCAAAATGAGTTGTAATTATAAAAGTAGTACGGAGGACAAATAAACATATAGACAGAATTGGCAGGGGAGGCAGGGGTAAGTGATAGACTATAGAGAAAAGACTTCAGGTTTAAGGAAATAGGGATAAGAAACAAAGGAGGTAGTTTGAAGGGTGCTTTACCTAGGGCTTATTTGATTTAGTCTTTAGAGGCTGCAGGCCTGGATCTGCTTTATCTCTGCTTTTATTAAAACCACACGGAGAGGGGCCAGCCGAGTGGCTCAGTTGGTTAAGAGCTCGCTCAAGAGTTTGAGCTCTGAGCAACAGCGGTTTGAGTCCAGCCCGAGCTGAGCAGCCGCTGAGCTGCCAACAAGTAGGAGGATGGCTCAGCTAAAAAAAAAAAAAAAAGAAAAAAAAAAACCACACGGAGAATCTTTTCCGCAGTATCAGTGTTATGTGCCAGTAAGTGGTATAAACTTATTTATAGTCATTCAGTTAACAGCTTTTACTGAATGCCCAGTGGGGCCAGGTTCTGTTTTAGACCTGGGGGGATATGGAAATTGAAGATGTAGGTGAGGAAATCAGCAGAGAAAGAATCTTAGAGAAAGTGAAACATAAATTGAGATCTGAAGGAGTAGAAAATAGCAGAGAGAGAGGAGCCAATGCAGGTCAGAAGAAGGAGAGAGGAAAGTATGATACCAGGCAGAGGACCTTGTAAACATGTCAGGGGAGTTGACATGATCCTCAATACAAGGGGGTGCTGAACGACATGATCAGATTGGCATTTTGCACGAAGCACGCTGGTAGTGAGGTTGGAAAATGGGCGGTAGAGGGGTAGGACTAATGGGGATCACCAGCTAGGACATTGTTGCACTAATGCTAGTGAAACATCCAGTGAGGGGCTTAGACTAAGGTAGTGCCTGTGGAGATGGAGAGAAAGAACTGAGGAGATTCAGTCAATGTTTAAGAAGCCTAATGGACAAGGCTTAATTGGATGTTGGGGTGAGGAAGAAGGAAGATTTTCAGGTTTTCTGGGTAGATGCTGGTATCTAAAATGAGGAAAATAGGGGGGTTTTGGGTGTTGTGGGGAATCGTTTCAATTTTGAACATATTGAGTTGGTGTTTGACAGGAAAAACTGGTGCTTCTCTTTCTACACTCAACAATACGCTGGCCACCAAATATGTGGGGTGGGGGTGTTCCCCACACCAAGCAATTCTCTAATTCTCTGGACACCAACTGGGTGGGTGTCCTATGATTCAGTTTAATTCTAGAGTTAGTGTTAGATCTCACAGATTACAGGCTCAGCCCCACAGGACTTCCCCCTTCATCACTTAATATGCCAGTCACAAGCAGTGGATCCTTGAATTACCCACAACTTCTGTCTGACTTGGCTACAAATCGGGGGTTTCTGTGACCCTTTCTTTGGGTTCAGTAATTTGCTAGAACAGCGCACAGTGTCAGGGAAGCAGTTTATTTACCAAATTACTGGTTGATTATAAAATGACACAACTCAGGAACAGCCAGATGGAAGAGACACGTAGAGCAAGGTATGTCAGAAGGGGTGCAGAGCTTCCATGCCCTATGCCAGCACCCCTGTGTGTTCACCAACTCAGAAGCTCTCTGAACCCCAACATTTGAGGTTTCTTACATAACCATGATTGATTAAATCATTGGCCATTAGCTGGGTCTCCAGCCACTCCCCTCCCTCAGGTTGGGATAGAGACTATAAGTTTCAACTTTCTAATCACTAGGTTGGTTCCCCTGGCAACCAGCTCCCCAGAGGGGCTAGTTATGAATAACAAAAGACACTCCTTTCACCTTTATCTCACTTATTAGGAAATTTCAAGAGTTTAGGAGCTCTGTGCCAGGAATGGAAAGAAGATCAAATGTATATTTTTCTTATTATAAATCACAATATCACATTATCTATTAGGTATCTAAGTATAATTATCACAGGTAATTGGACATAAAAGTTCGGGGGCAGAAAAGTGGCAGTTTGGGATTTGTTTTTCACAAGGAAAACAAGGGAGAGCTAAGGAAAGGGATGATAGGGAGGTTGATCAGGGAAAGAACGCATAATTGATGGAACCAAGTCTCATGTGGACTGACATTCATAAAAGAGTGATATACTATCTCATTTATTAATCAGAAATATAACTAATATATTGCTGTTCATGTTCACTGTGTGCTCTTCCTGTCGGCAAACTGACAAGGGAATCCAAATCACCATCAGAATATTGGGGCAATCACTTTGTAAGGGATATAAATCACTAATCACTGTGTTATACACCTGACACTAATATAACATTGTATGTCAACTATAATGGAAAATAATTTAAGGATAAAATTGAAAAGAAAAAACAGAATTTGAAAAACGTGTTAGAAAGGGAAGTCAGATGGGCCCAATGGCTAGTGTCTTGTATGATGACTTGTCATTTTCCTGTACTGCCTACTTGTCTCTCGAGTTAACGAGAGAGGCTCCTTTCACTTTAATTTTACTTTCGCTTTAAGTAAAGTAGAATTCTAAAATATTTTGCATTTTAATAAAGTTCTACATTTTACCCTTTTTGGAAAGAAGACGTAGCATTGATGAGTGTTGGCAACAAAATAATTTATAAGACTCTTATCATTATTTTTGTACCTAAAAGAAAATAGAGTAAATGTATTCTAAATTAGTAGTTTATTGACATGGTTTAAAATTTTTTTTTCTCTCTTTTTTTCTTTTTTAAAGAAATGGCTGCAAGCAACTGACCTCACAAGAGAAGTGTACCAGCATTTAGCCCACTATGTACCAAAAATCTACTGCAGGGGTCCCAACCCTTTACCACAGAAGGAAGACATGCTGGCACAGCATGTTTTGTTGGGACCAATGGAATGGTACCTTTGTGGTGAAGACCCTACATTTGGATTTCCAAAACTTGAACAAGCAAACAAACCTTCTCATCTTTGTGGTCGTGTTTTTAAAGTAGGAGAACCTACGTACTCTTGCAGGTAAAATATTGTAATTTTCTTTCTAAGAGGCTCTTGTTTTTACTTGACTTTTTTTTTCCTGAAGCATTACTTTTTTGTTTTAAAATTACAAAGTATTTTACACACACACACACACACACACGGTGCCCAAAAAATGCTTACACATTTTAAGAAAGGAAAAAACTGTATTAAAATTGTAATACTCAATATATACCAATAACAAAAGGTGAATACAAGTTATGTGTATATATTTTTTTGGTGTGTGTGTGTGTGTGTGTGTGTATGTGCGCAAATATGTATGTTGTAATGAATAATTATGAAACAAATATTCATGTAATTATTTTTCAGGTCAAGAAATAGAATATCACCAGCATTCCAGAAACCCACTGTGTGCTTTCTTCCTACCCCATAATTTACTGATGCCTTGACTCTTGTGATAATCACGTCTTTGCTTTTCTTGATAGTTATAGTTATTCTTTTTAATGTTCAGATTATCCCAAACTTGGTCTGTGGGAGCTCCATCACACTGGCTTCTTTGTCCTTTTTGCACTCCTTCATTTATTTATTTACTTATTTTTCTAAAGATTTTTATTGGGGAATTGGGGAATGGGAACAGTGCTGGGGAATTGGGGAAAGGGGAACAGACAAGTTGCGGTCCTTTTGTTCTTCAGTCTACTTGTGGAGGACGTTGCTTCACTGGCCCCATTTGGCACCATCATTGCGCTCTTCCAGGGCGAGGCAGATCAGTCGCAGGCAGGCTTCTGGACGGCTGCTCACTGCGGCTGCAGGCTACACACTGTAGCCCATGGCAACCCGCTTCAGCCTACGCCTTCGCCATCGACTTAAGGCAGCCCAGCTCCAGGTTGAGCTGTTGTTCAGCATCTTAGCTGTAGAGGGCAGTGTCACTGGCCCTTATATGTGGGAGCCAGACCAGGGCCCTCTGGCGTCCCAAGCCAGCTCTTAACCAACTCGCCGCTCGGCCGGCCCTCCTTCATTCGTTTTTGAATGCTGCTTTGCTGTCTGGTTCAGGATGCCCACAGCTCACTTTGTACACACTCTGACCCGTATGTAGAATCATGGTACCAGATGAACTGGGTCCTAATGCTTAGTAGTTGCCAGTCAAAAGACAACTCCGAGATGATTTTATGAGAAGGAACTTTATTGCAAGGCAGCAAGCAAAGATACACCAGGACACATTCCCAGAGCAATATGTCCCCAAACAAAGCATCTAATCCACCTTTATTAGGGGAAATCAGTCATAAACATCAAGGTAGTAGACTTTGTCATTGCAGGTATAGGTGGGGACGTGCTCCTGGGTAGAGGTTTTAGTATTATAATGAGGGAACTTCATGAGGTCACTGGACGGTCCTTCAGGCTGTTCCAGCCAGTCTCAGGCGGTTTCAGCTGGTTCACCCTCTGGTCCTGCAAAACATCCTGGGTTTGTTCCTGAGAAACAGTTCTAGCAGTCATCAATGTCAGGGATTGTATAGGAACAGATAAACATCAGACTAAGTCTTGGTCTTTCTGTGAAACTTTCAGCAAGTTACAAAATAGCATTACACAAACCTTCTAAATTTTAGAGTGTGATCTAAGTGGGGTTACAGGTTAATTGAGGCAACGTTATAACCTCTAAACAAAGGTTAACCTATGCTAGGTTACCTGCGAGGCTACATGTGTAGGTTAGGTTTCAGTCAGCCATTTCTGCAAGGAGTTTCCTTTTAGTTGATAATGATAGTAGAAATCATGATCTGGGTGCTATACCTATGTACTTCTTGCTTCTAGAATGGCTTGACTTTTTTTTTCTTTTTTAATGTTAAGAATTGAGCAGATATACAAGGGTAGAATATAAGGGAGGAAAGTGCCTGTCTCCTTTATGACTTTCTATTCCTATTTCTCAGAAATAAACCATTATTAACATTTTCTTATTTGTATCCTTCCAGAAGTATCTATGCATATAAAGGTGTGTATATATAATTATTTCAAACATGTATATATGTAAACATACATACAAAAGGGAATACGTTATATATATTGAGCTAAATTTTCCTATCTCTAACAAAACCTTGACATCTGTTTATTTCAGCTAATACAGCTAGATTGTGTGGATGTACTACTAATAGAGATATTGTATAACATTTTTTTCCATAAGACTTTTTTCCTGTAAGACTAATAAGCTTAATTTCGGTGAAGGCTTCTGGGTGTCCATGGTAGTCTTTATCAGCATGGTTAGAATACCAATGGAGATATTTTTATACATTGAAAGATTGTTAGATCTAGTTTTTTGTCTGTCTTTACAAAAATCTCTTTGAGTCCTTAATCGATGTTTGGAGCAATAGAGATAGTTTAACCTCATAATTTACAGATGAGGAAACTGAGGCTCAATTGTTTCAGTAATGCTTTTGTAGCAAAAGGAACCAATTTCAAAGCATGCATTTGTATGGCATGTCTTAATTTTCTGTCAGGAGCTTTTCCTCAGTTTTTCTTTGACTTTCATGATCTTTTAACACTTTTGAAGATTACAGGCCAGTGATTTTGTAAATGTCTGTCAATTTGGGTTTGTCTGATAAACTTCATGATTAGATTCAGTTTGCATCTTTCACAGGAATATCACAGAAATCACCTGTTCTCATTGTACCCTATCAAGTAGTGTATGATTTTGATTTGTACCATAACTGGTGATGTTAACTTAGATCACTGGAGTAAGGGAATGCTGCAAGACTTACATTACTCTTTTCCCCTCTGTAATTGGTATTTTGTGGGGAGTATTTTGAGACTGTTAAATATCCAGTTTCTTATCAAGCATTCAATTCATTCATTTATTTATCTCAGTATGTATTCATGGAGTCCCATTATTCTTGTGCTCAAATTGTTCTAGATATGACCAGTGGGAGGTCCTTCAAGCTTTTCTTTCGTCTTTGTTCTTTTTCATGTCCCCATCATTCTTTGAGCACTTCCTTTTTCTTTCCAACACAAGATGTTTCGGCCACATGGACTTTTTTCCCTTCCCCAGCTCTGAAACCAACCATTTCTCCAAGGAGCCTGGTTCCTTTTTTAGTAGAGATTAGTGTTTAGAAATAAAATACTAGGTGTGATTGTCGCTATTGGTATGTCATTAATCCCAGGCCCTCTCAGTGGATCTATATTCTATATCTATCTGTAGATACATATTGAAAGAGTTATTAAAAACCATGCTTTTATATTGATCCCTCTGGTTCCAATCCAACACCATAGGATTCTTTGTCATTGTCTCCCTTTGCATATTTGTAACTCCCTTCTCTGATTAACCTGATTCTCATCCTAAAACTATTATTTGATCATTCCCCTTTATGTAACCACTCTTGCTGTTACTGCCATACAGCTCTGTATAGTTGCCCTCCTTACCCCATTTGGGTTCCACTCCCTGTACTGGGCCACGGTGGCCTCCCTCCACCTCTTGTTAGGGCAGATATGAAATAAGTCTTTCTTTAAGATGCATGGTCCTTAATCCAGGTCATGGCCTTTCTGGTATCTCAGTCATAGGCCTGCGTGGACCAGAATTCCAGAGTCCTCTAGCAATGCTTGTTAGACTCAAGTGTCTCTGTGGCACTCTCAATTTCATAGCAGCCACTCTGCAGTAAACTTGGAGAGTGTCTCCCTGTGCATGGACTGCCCAACCCTCAGCCAACAACTCATTTACTGGTGACCCCCACATAGACTTCTGCTCCTTTCTGGCCCTTCTCCTTTTACACACATTCCACCTTTCTGGTGCCCTTACTCAGGGCTTCTTGCTGTTTCACTTGCCCCAGACTCTAGTGTCAGCTCAGCAGCACCTTGCTGCTCTGCTTAGGCTCTAGCTCACTGTGCCACAGGCGGGAACTTAACGCCCTCGGTGAGAGGCAGAGCCATCACGGGGCTCAATCACCTCATGATGAGTTTCCCTTCTCTTAGTTATTGCAATCTAGTACTACCTGTTCGATGCCTGGAAATAGTTGCCTCATGTATTCATCTAGTTTCAAGATTATGTACAGTGGGAGGGTTAGTTTAGGACCAGTTATTCTGTCATAACCAGAAGTGCAAGTCCCAAAATTAATTTTAACGGTGAAAGTTGCTTATGCTTATTGAGCACATCCTAGGCACCAAAGTTAATGCTTAAGCGCTTTCTTTACCTATAATCATGTTTAATCCTTCTATAAATTTCTGAGCACATGGGCTCAGAGTAGTTTAAGTGACTTACCTGCAGTCATAAAAATTGAAACCAGGGCTCTCTGACTCTAAAGTCCTTGTTCTTTTCCTTTATCTTTCTTTGATTCTCTGATATCGGTCTCTTATGAATTTTTCACTCAGTAAAATGAGGGGGAAAGTAGGAAAAATGTACTGAGTTTTTCTTAGAGCTAAAATTTGTTTAGTTCTTAAATCCTGAGATTCTTTGTTAAAATATTAGTATATAAAACCAAGGCAATTAAGTAGTTTTATTTTTTAATATTCTTAGAGAAAAATTAGCAGCCCTTTTTTCAGTCATTCTACTGGTCCCTGTCACTCAGAAATCTGGGAACTACTACACAGTAGGACTCTGATGCCTAATCAGAAAATCAAGTTGCAATCAATACTGTCTTCTGTACCACCAGGTACATGCAGAGAATATTAAGTAAAAATCATACGTGGTCTGGAGAAAGAGCTTTTAGTGACTCAGAATTGTGGACTTGGCTTGCACCCTTTTCTCCGTCATTATCCAGTTAGGCTAGTCTATGAGCTCCTCTTTCCTAATTGTAGGCCTTTGGCACGCATAATAGTACCTGATACTACTAGGTGCTCAGCAAATATTGTCGAGCAAATGTCTGTTACATTGTTTAAAACACAGGACAGTTTTAAAGCTGTTATTCTGCTGTTCCTACTTCAGTTACTAAATAGCTTTATTCCTGTTTGTTGCACATTTCTATACTTGTCTAGCCGCAATGTTGCATTTGTTATAAACCAGCTACTTTGTAGTATGTTGCTCGTGGTTATGTCCATATCCCATTTTGGGTATGTAAGATTTTTTTAAA